GAAATTCTGCAATGAATTCGTAACATGAATAGAAAAGCTTAAGTCAAGCCACCATTTAATGCTAGGTATATCAATTAAATTAGACTCGAAACCAGCAAAAAAGAAGGTTTTTACCTTTCTTCAAGTGGCAAGCCAAGCTTTATACAAAAATAACGTTTGAGAATCGATGGCTTGTTAGGTTTGGTGTTTCTTTTAGGAGAGGGAACCCTTTTGGTAGAATTCTTTCTAGTCGCATCGGTGGTTAAGGGTGTATGTGCCTTGGTGGTACTTCGTACATAGTTCAAAGACTCAATCTTCTCATTTTCAAACCTTTTCATCCTTTCCTCTTCACTCACACATACTGAAATTAACTCATTCACATCCCACTTTTCACGCAATGCATTGTAGGACAATTTGAGATGTGTATAACTATCAGGCAGGGAACTCAATATCACATGTACCAAGAAAGTTTCAGGGATTAGTACCTCGAGAGCTTTGAGTTTTCCAGCGATGTCCACCATTTTTAAAATGTACTCACACATACTCTCTATGCCATCATGTCTCATGGTTGTTAGTGAATTCATGAGATTACCTGTTTCAATTTTTGGTGACTCCTGGTACTTCTGCTTAATGGACTTGAGAAAATCCTTTGCATTGGTAGCATCTGTGAAGGCTCCTCGAACCACATCAGTCATGCTCCTTTTGATAATCAATAGGGAAATTTTGTTTGATTTGTGCCACTTTTCGTACTTAGACTTTTGACTTGAGGTGCTTCCATCTGTTGGAGTAGGGGGCTCTTCAGTTCTATAAGTGCTAAGTCCCAATCCATGACACCTAGCACGATCTCAAGATCTTGCTTCCATTTCTTATAGTTGGCAACAGTGAGTGGTTCAACTGTATTAAGGTGCATGGAGCTAGGATTCATAACTGTCAGAGCACATAGTTCAAGTATTAATCCTTAAATCCCCAGACTATAAATCACCTTTTCAACATCTTTGGATTGATGAACATGTGAAGACTTCCTTTAATCATATCACCTTTATAACCAACATTCGAATTTCTGTAATCAAAATTATAAACCTTTGTGGTTTGATAATAGTAATTCGATTCAAACATTCGTATATAAAGTGATATACTGCTTAAATTCTAAGCATGAAAGATTGATCTTCTTTAGATGACCATTGATCATGTCTTGAATTTAAACACCATCACTGGTATGTATATATGAATGAAAATATATGTCTTTATAATCAAGGATAGCTTTAGCTGTCACTTGATCGTGTTCATATATATTTCCCTAATGATACACTACCAGTTCTGTAACCTACGGACAAGGAAAATTTGCTTGATGCCTTCAACATAGGGTTAAATGATATGTGAAGGGTTCTGATACCAAATGTAAGTAAATTATGCAACGGAAAAACTTATTCATAATTATCAACTTAACCACTTACCTGTGGAAGACATCATCTTAAAGAACTAGGATTAATAACTGAAGTTCTTCTGCAACTCTACACAACCGAAAGCAAGTCTCTCTCAATGGGGCTTGAGTTTTCTGTAAACTTGCGTGTACTGTGAGAGAGCAGGGACCTCAATTTTATACTTCATACAATGGAATTCAATAAGGATCCCTCCCATTAAGTGATCCTTATCAAAGAGTAGCCTTATCACCGTGAAACACTTATGCATTATATCAGTTAGAAAAGTTCTAGTTTTATCGAGAATGTATCTGACTTGAAACTTTAATTAATACAACTCCTGATAAGTCTACCACAAGTGTCAATCCTAATCTCCTTATCATTCCAAATGTCTTTAATCAAATCACCAAAGTGTTTGCTCTCATATAGAACTTACATAATTAGCATTCACAAGCTTGTAGAAAGCGAAGCAGTGTGAACTGCGGGAGAAATAGACGGCTGATATGTTGTGAAACAGGTTACCAACTGAGCAGTAGCACCTACCACCTTCATGTGCTTGTCATTTACAAACCATATCTCCATTTTTGTCTCCTACCTCCCACCTCAACGAATCTAATATAATATATATTTTAGGAAGAATTATTCAAATTTAACTACAAGATTTTTGCATCAATTCTTTTCTTTAAAAGAGACAATCTTGTGATTTCTTCCTAACATTCTACCATTTCGAAAATCAAAAGGACTCATAAAGACAATTCACCTCTACCAACCATCATATATGTCCAAAGGAGAATTCCAGTGTTAATTACTTACTCTTTAACCAACACTAAAATATTATTTACAAAAAATTTTACATTGCAATGACCCAGTGAAATATTTTACCACGACATTAACCACAGTTAGCTATAAGAACTCATCATAGCCTAAACATACTCGTCATATGTACGAGTCGCATCTAAAACTTATCGTCACACAACAATAATTGAGTAGGCAGTTGGAATTTGTACACTTTGAAGTTTGTACAAGGTAGATGGATCGATTCTGGGAGACGTGCTTATATTAGTTTTGTGAATGTCTCTGAGACAAAAGTAGAGGTTAAAGAAGACATTAAGAGGTTACTCAAATCATGTTTTTTAACACCTACATCGGCATTGGTTACTCATACTTTGGATAGCCTAGAAAACATGATTTTAGTAAACTACACAAATGCGAAACCCTAAACCTTAAATTGGAGTAATCAAGATCACCGACGCTCTCTTATCTATTAGCCTAAGCGTCTTCGCTAACTCGCTCGCCTAGTATACCCTACTATACAATACATTAGTAGGGTAGGCTAACTCAGCCGCTTATTTCAAAAAATGTAGGGCTAAGTAGCGCCTTTTCCTTTTTGAATAACCCATTCTCATTATCTTTCATAAGTCAAGTAGGCGAACCTATACTATAGGTCCTTAGTAGGCGTTGACAAAGAAGAACAGCCGGTTAAAAGACAGCGAATCTTTTTTTTTTATATTATATATATTATTTAATATAACGATATATATAGGCCAGCTTGACAAGCTACCCTTCCTCTTGATCTGAGGTGCGAAGAGAAGCATCTCTTTTTTATGACTTCCACTTATCGATCCCGGCCCGTAAAAGTGACCGACCGGCCTCAAACTCAACACTTGCAATGAACAAAGCATGACTCCGCTTAGAGAATGGCGACGGATCAAAGCCCAGTGACTCAAAAAAGACCTCATCGGCAGCTGTAGCCGAAAGTTCAACTAGAGCACACTCTTGGAGACTGCTAATCAAGGAATCTAAATGAAGCAACTCCAAAGTATGAGTAAACAATACCAATGGCGATGGAGGATTCGCTTATAGATGCGGCTTTCACGCATCAGATCATGTCATTCATGGCTGCGAGAGCACAACCACATCAAATTACATAAAAAGACAACTTATTTGTGGTCAATAGCAGTTGGTGCTGTTGAATATGTGGTCATGCCTTTTGGTTTGAAGGGTATCGGCACAACTTATCATAGGACAACGAATGCTATCTTTCATAACATGTTTAGGATGCACTCGTTAAAGATATACTCAAAAAAGTGTACTTTCGGAGTCAAGGTCAACAACAACAACAAAGTCCTATCTCCCTAAGTGTGATCGGTTATGTGAATCCACTAGTATGTGATGAATATATATTTAATAAGTTTCATTGAAAAATATGTGAAACCAAATTCCAGGTTACCCAACTCCTCTCTCTCTCTTTTCTTACAATATTTAACTTGGTTTATTGGTTTTGTTGTGGTTCTCATACTTTAATTTGTTTGATTAAGGATTGGTTTAAATCTGATTAGGGTTTGTGTTTGATTAATTGAATCTGATTAGAAGAACTAGTTTGATTACTTTATAGAAGTTTTTTTCTAAGTATTTTGAGTACCTTTTACATATCGATGCTGCCTCAACATTTTGGTCAGGAGAATTACAATAAGATGTTAAAGTTGAAGATCTTGGTTTATCCTTTCTAAAGTTTTGCCTTGTGAGACAAACTGCGTCCATGACCACTTATAAAACTAGTTCCTTAAGCAATATTACTACTTTAAATTATACTAAAAAAAGGAAAAAGGATTTGAATTCGGAACACGGAGTTGAAGAGAAAAAACCCTTGTTTGGATGTTTTAAAAACCTTTAAGTAACCCTAACTGACGAGCTAATGAGGTTTTAAACGGTCGGTTCCTAAAACGACACCGTTCAAGCGCGGAAAAAACCCTGCAGGTCTCTAATGGATAATAAAACTGTTTTGCTTTATATTACCACAGTAATGCTAGAGAGATTAAATTTGTACACAAAATTTTGTAAACTAAATGACATAGAAGTTGATGATTGAATTATTACTTAAGTGTTAATCAACGCGTTCATTTTCCATTGATGACACATCATTTACTTTGCAAATTTTGTTTACAAATTTAGTCTCCGTAGCATTATTCGTAGTCACAATATCACACTTTCTTGCTTCATCTTTGCACCCTATTATCAAATTTATTTCTCATTGGTGACACATCATTTCCTAAACTACCCTCACTAAACATCTCTTTGCACCCTATTATCAAATTTATTAAATTAAAATAAAATAAATAGTTTTAAAAAACTCATAAATAAAACGCCAAAAGAGCCATCAAAGAAATTCACCCTCCCAACCAACCACTTCCATCATCTCTGTCGGGAAAGAGAAATATAACAAGAGTTACAAGTGCTCATCTCTAAAGAACATATATCTACAAATATAATGTCATTGCAAGGTTACTCGATGCAGCAGCTCTCCATTCGCGGTTCCTACCACCCCTGCCCCACACTTCCGATCGTCAACGACATTGAACAAGCACAGATCTCTGTTCCTTACTCAACCCTATGAAATTGGATAATTGGTATGGTTTCCCAAACAACCTTTTAGTAATGGAAGAAAAACACTTAACAACACCATTTTGAAGAAAAACAACCCCTCCACTAACCGTTATTGCACCCGACTGTAATTATCGGGACCAATGATAGGGGCGAAGAGTTTTTTTTTTCCTATAAAACTGTTCCTCACTAACATTAAGGGCTGTCAAAGGTGCTATACTATTCAAGTATATTTTGTAGTGCTCATTTACTTGATAGAGGTGACGATCACAATAATTTACATATAGATAAACCTCTATATTATCAATCAGTGGGTTTGAGCCTACATGGGATTAGAACAATTAAAAACAGTTTTCAGGCTACCCTAGAAATTACCGAAAGGCAGAATCCAACTTTATGGTTGATGATGCTGTGAAAACTTGTGACTAGCCAAAGAAAACCCTTACTTGCTTGGATACTGAAGTCTTCGACTTTGGAGGTGTTGGGTATCAGGGTTTCACAGAAAACACAGGCTTTTGCAATGTTAGCAGTTCGATGAAGTCAGAAGTACAGACAATGAAACTTCATTTGTTAGGCTTAGGGACGTCACCTACGCTGTTGGAGGAGCTATCCTGAACAACTTGAGATATAGAATGCCTACTTGATGAGCATCCATCTGTAACACTCCTATCTTTCCTCTGTGATTGCTTGGCCTTCTTAACTGCAGAAGATGAATCCTGTAAAACCCCATTCAGTAAATTTTGCATCTTCTATGCAAAAAGCATTTCTGCTGCTTTTATAACTTTAAAAGTTACAACTAACCTGTGGTGTTGAAGATCCTGGCATCTTAAGTTCAAGGTCTGTTGCCACATCGTTGGAGTCATCACACCTTTCGGCAGTGCTACCCCTTTGATGATCTGATGATCTGCTCCTGGAATCTTGCTTGCTTGAAAGGTGGGAGACGGATGCATACTGCGGTGATGGCTGTTGTACAGGAGGATTGGCAGGTGCTGGATACGGCACAAAAGTTGAACAGGGATTGGGCATAGCAGCAGGATTTTGAGCTTGAAAGTAAGGATACGACTGAAGTGACGGGTGCATGGGAATTGGGCCGGGAGGGACAGCCACACGCATTGGATATGAGTAAGGTGGAGCCATAACAACAGCAGGATCCATGCCAGCCCATGGAAACATAACTCTCAGTCTCTGCTGATACTGAACATTTAGATTTTCAATATCAGATTTTAAAGATGCCTTCTCCTCTCTTAGCTCGTTCTTCTCCTGCGTTAGCTGCTTGTAATAAACAAGAATTCCGATAACATTAGCATATAATCAGCCTCACAAGTTACAACCACAGGATAATACACATTAACAGTAACATCACCTCACCTCACGGGATTCATCAGTAAGTGCAGAACACTCGGCCTTTAGTTTGTTGACATCAGCGGCAAAATCCTTCAACATTTGAATTGTGTCAGTAAGGATGGTTGCCTTATCGTTCTTGGGCCTATCCGGATCTGCATTTCCAACATAACAAGGGCGTCCATGTTTGTTCAGAATTAAGGCACGTGCACCATGAACTAACTACATAGCGAATTAGCAAGACCGTTGATCAAAATACGTAATCCGAGTTCATGTCAAACTATCTAGCAAGATAACATTACTTGTCCTCAAACGCAAATTGCGATGTTTCAACACGCCATTCCCGGAAAATTATGACAGAAAGAATAGCAGAGAGCAGCAACTAAAATATACCTAATGTGTTGCCCAACTCAAAAAAATGCTCATTGAGTCGATCCCTCCTCAACTTTTCGCGGTCTGCTTTCTGAACTTTTCTGGCAACAATCGGGTCCTTCGTCTCCACATCAAGTCTTTGCCTGCCCACACAAAATCAAACTGTAAAGATCACAACTTTAACTTCATCTGCTTCATAACCACCAATGATTTTTGTATTTTTTTCCTAAATTATTCAATCAAACAAACATTCAATTGCTGAATTCAAACAAACGAATCAAATCTACAAAGAGATAGAGAGGGGAACCTGGAATCGGTGTTGGAGTTGTGGGGGCGACTGGAGGGGAGTCGTTGAGTAGAAGAAGGAACTGAAGCAGCTGAGAAATCGTCGGATTTCCAATGATCCATGATTTTGGGGTCAATTTTTGAGGCTAGGGTTTTGTTCTTCACTGCAAATTGAAGAAATTGGGGGAAGAAAGAGAGAGGAATCACAAAGATACAAAATTGAACACTAATCTCAGCTTGCTTTCCACAGCAAAATCCACCACAGGGGGAAATGGAAGCCACTCCGATCCGGATATGGATTTTTTTTAATTTCTTTTTGCCCCTTTTTTTTATTGAATTTTATATTTCTTATTAAAATTGTTTTAGAGTGAGATAACAAATATACCCTTCATGTTTGGGCCTCTTTCACAAAATGACATCACTATTCAACTTTTTTGGCCTTTCTACTCAAAAAATAAAAATAGTAACCATTGAAACCACTTTTGCCTCAAATCTTATAGCCCTTTGTTCTCTATTTAAGTACCACGTGTCAAACTAAAAAATTACTTCAAAATGTTGAAATTATTACGTTTCAAGTGACAAGATTGATACATATTGTTTCGTCTAAGATGTCTCGAAATTGATAATTTTATAAAGACTATTTCGTTGATTTTTCTCTTTGACTTGATATGTTTCTTCCATCTAGTTTTTCCCTTAGCGTCATTTTAATGTCAATTTCTTCTAATTTTTGTTTATCTAAGTTGGGATAAAAAATTAGCGACACACGAATGAATTTTTTTTTTTTACACAAAACAAAAGTTGATGGAATGTGGATGAACATGACGGAAAAGATATGGGTAGAAATTGGTAATTTAAAATAATCGATGGAGGAAAATTGTCCAAATAAAATTTTAGGGGCCAAATCGACAATACAGTACAAGTTCGGAGGGAAATCGCTAAAATTACCACGGCTTTTCGGAACGACGTCGCATTAGCCGTACCTCCGGTTTCTTTTACCTCCAAATCCTGAAAATTGCCGGTTAAGGGTTTCCAACCAGAAGAGAGGAAGAAGATGAAGATAGTGACGTACAACGTGAACGGGCTGCGGCCGCGCATTGCCCAGTTCGGCTCTCTGCTCAAATTGCTGAATTCATTGGACGCCGATGTCATCTGCTTCCAGGAAACCAAGCTGCGACGGCAGGAATTGACCGCCGACTTGGTCATGGCGGAGGGCTACGAGTCCTTCTTCTCCTGCACCCGCACCTCCGAAAGAGGCCGCACCGGGTACTCGGGTAAGTGGTTGTTAAAATGCGTCAACCGCGCGCACCACACTCTTAATTTTGCACCTTTAGTATCGAATTTTGATTGATTTTTTTGCATTAAATTTGGTTCTGCGAAGGTGTGGCGACGTTTTGCCGGGTGAATTCGGCGTTCACGAGTGACGAAGTGGCGTTACCGGTGGTGGCGGAGGAAGGATTCACTGGGGTTCTTGACAGTGGGAAAGGAGAAATGAATGCGGTTGCGGAGGGGCTTGAGGAGTTTTCGAGAGATGAGCTACTGAAGGTTGATGGCGAGGGGCGTTGTGTTATCACGGATCATGGGCATTTTGGTACGTTTTGCCTTAGCTTCATGCTTTAAGTTCGAGTCTCTGTGATTTCGTTTTGTTGGAGAAAGTTTAAAGCTTTATGATGACAATGGGTGTGTAGTTCTCTTCAATTTGTATGGGCCTCGAGCGGGGGGTGATGATACGGAAAGGATCGAGTTTAAGTTCAAGTTTTTCAAGATTTTAGAGGTAACGAAAATGATCCGTTTAATCTTTTAAGTTGCCATTGTGTTCAGTTTCTTTTTTGTTTTCAGCATGCGAAAGTTAGAACTGTTATTCTCTTTGGGTTTTTTTCTTAATGTTGATTTTCGTTGTAGAAAAGGTGGGAGTCTCTCCTGCGTCAGGGGAGGAGGATATTTGTTGTTGGTGATCTTAACATTGCACCCACTTCATTAGATCGTTGTGATGCCCAACCAGATTTTGAGAACAACCAGTAAGATGCTTGCATGATCTCTATGGAGTGGTTATCTGTGCATGTAATTTTATGCAGAGTTTCATAAGTGGGGTTCAGTACCTAATATATTGAGAAAATCTACCTTGTAGATTTAGAAGATGGTTTAGATCGATGTTGGTGGAAAATGGAGGCTCCTTCTTTGATGTTTTCAGGGCAAAGAATCCTGATAGGTAAAGCTTATACTCAATAGGAGTTCTAGACTTCTAGTATATTTTACTCGACCAACATCCGTTTGTTTTGTTTTTGTGCAAACTTGAGTTTTGATATTATTATTGAGTTATATTTTGCCAGTGGTTACAGATGTATGTTGAGTGATTTGAAGTTATTATTGTACGATATCTCCTTCATTATTTATACCGCTTTAGAGTTCGTGGGTACCCATTCAACTTCATGTTTTACTTTTGTGGTTTAATCATATCATCTGTGTCTGAGATCATTAGCTGAAAATGTTTTACTTTATAAAGTAAATTTCTGCCATATGTCAACTTACCATGTTTTCCTCTCTCTATCCTCTTTTCCTCTTTAACTGTCAGAATAACTAAATGACATCATTCTAATGTTTTGGGTCTTGCATTCATTGTTACTTGAAACTTGAAAGTGTTTGTCCATTTTTTGGTGTTACCTTGTCTGAATGTCGTGTTTTTTCTCCCGTACAGAAGAGAAGCATACACATGCTGGTCACAAAGTTCAGGTGCTGAAGAATTTAATTATGGCTCTAGAATCGACCACATTCTGTGTGCAGGGGTATGCTTACACCAAGAGCAGGACTTGCAAAGCCATAACTTTGTAACTTGCCATGTCAAGGAATGTGACATATTGACACAATTTAAACGGTGGAAACCCGGAAATTCACTGAGGTATAGGATACATAGATGCTTGCTTTTTGTGTGTGCAGCCCATGCATGGATGTCATCCTGTATTACTTTTGCTTTTGGGATTATCAACAGTAGGTAATGTTGAAATGCATGCATGTGGTACATATATGTAGGTGAAATATGTCTGTTAGTGTTAGGATGTTACTTTGACTGCTGTCCCTGCCCGCAGGTGGAAGGGAGGGCAGAACATCAAACTCGAAGGCTCTGATCATGCTCCAGTTTACACAAGTTTACTGGAAATTCCTAGTGTTTCCCAGCATAGCACCCCATCTTTATCTGCTAGATACATTCCAATGGTTCGAGGTCTCCAACAAACCATTGGTATGAAATTATAGTCTCCCTTTTGCTGATTATTTTAGATGTTTCCGTATAAACATTTTTGTGAAATGTGCAAGGACATAAATGATAAACCCTTTATGCACACTTGAAAGTTAGAGGAACCTGGTTCCTTGGTTCAACTTGTATTTAGTTGTCTATTGAATTTGATTATATAATAGCATTACTAATTGATCAAATATATTAAGGGTTTGTTGTGTAGCTTGTGTTTAACATGATTTGGGTTACTTGAATATTGTATCTGCAACTGCTTTTAGATTGGGATAAGTTTGGAACTTCGGTGTTTATTTAGAAAATTGTATCTATGTAAATAGATGTTTAATATTTATGAGTCTCATAATAAAATAGAGAAAACAAAATTACTTGAATTAGATGTTTCTCGCTTAATTTGTAATACGTCACAGTTTCATACTTCCCCATCTGGATGCTGTATGGTCTCTTACTCTCACTTCCATCATCTGGCAATTTAATCTAACCTGTTCTCTTGAAGCTACTAGTTCTCTATGCCTACTCAAAGTTGACTGAACCCTTTGTCCTGTGCAGTGTCGTTGCTAATGAAAAGACAAGCTGCTGAACAAGTTACTACAGATGGAAATTTCATTAAAGAGAGTTCCAGTGAGGGAGAAAGAATATCACCTGAACAATGTTGCACACCCAGTGGCGACTCCTGTTCTTCGAGCCAAAACTCTGAAGTTCTCTGTTCAAAAACATACGAGCATTCAAGCACCTTAGCTATTGAGGCCACTTGTAACACCTTGGTAACTTTAGGTGGTGAATGTAACAAAACAATGTGCGGCAATGAAGCTAAGAAAAAAGCAAAAAGGAGCTCCCAACTCTCATTGAGGTCATTTTTCCAGAAAAGTCTGATCACTAGCAACAGTGTGAGCAATAGTAGTGTTATTTCTACTAATCAGGGAAATGTTCCAGATTCTAATCATCTCTCAAATGAAACTCCAGTACCAGAAAATCAAAGTGGCAGTCCCAAGCAGTGTGAACTGAACTCAAGTGCATCAATTCAGGATAGCGATGAAGTAGATGTCTACTCTTTGGACAAATCTTTGGACAAAGAGAAGAATAATTTTGCATTATTGGAGTGGCAAAGGTTACAGCAAGTCATGCAGAATAGCATACCACTTTGCAAGCGTCATAATGAACCTTGTGTTGCTCGGGTTGTGAGGAAGCGAGGTCCTAATTTTGGACGCAGATTTTATGTCTGTGCGCGTGCTGAGGTATGTTTTTGTTAACTTTAGTACTGCTGGAAATTTGAAAAGGTTTCTAATATACGATATTGGAGTAAGAGTAAAACTGAAGGAAAATGAAATAATACTTTCGCATTTAATTAAGGAAAACAAAGGTTAAGCATGATTCAATATTATGATGTCTGCTGAAATTATGAATTCAAGTGTATGACAATGAAGTATGGACAAAGGACAAGTATCTATAAACGCATTGTTCCTTTCTTTCCATTATTTTGTACATGTCAGATTCAATTGATGTTATAATAGTAGAAAACATCTGATGATTTTTTTGTAGTTCCATCAACCGTGTAACTAGTTTTCCTTCCGTAGTTAGAACCTAGAACTTAGGATGAAAATGTCATTGGGCATCTGACAGTTGCAAGCTTCATACGAACAACAGATATCATGAAGTTTATATGTGCTCGAGCTAAATTTGCAGTTGATTGGAAAAGACGATGGTATCCAAATTATCTATTTCGAATTCTTACCTCCTGTATCTAATTGTCTATTCAAGAGTAATGTTTGTTTATGTGGAATAGCAGAAGGCAAGGTAGATGACATGAACTAATTGGTGGCATTCTTTTTGTTCTTCCCACAGGGACCTGCATCTAATCCTGAAGCAAATTGTAATTATTTCAAATGGGCTTCCTCGAAACCTCGACAGAAATGATGGTGGTGATCGGTCATGCCAGGTGATAATGGATGCCGTGCTGTTAGTTTCCGGCCTACTTTTTGGGACGATGTAGGGCTGACCATCTCGGTATGGAAAATTTTGTAATTAAAATGATTCTTTTTGAAATATTGTCTCTGGCATAAGCTCCTTTGTTGTATTATGTAGCAGTATTTTCTTGTTAGTGAATTGATTGCAGTGTTACCCGAAAGAAATATGTTTCCAGAATATCAGAATTTTGGTTTTAGACGTACGTGGTATAACTCAAAAGTCATCACTTTACTCTTTAAAACTCTAAATTTGTTCCATTTTGACTTGTGGACTCACTTTTCTCCATAAAACTTTAGGTCGCCTCTTGAAACATGTGGGACTTAACACCCAATAAGAATATGTCACATGTGCAATAAATTTGATTATAAATCTCCATTATATCTTAACATTTAATAATCAGAGAATATTAAGTTTAAAAGAAACTGAAGAGATGAAAAAAATTAAAATAAAAACTAATTAGCCTAGCGCACCCAAATCAAACCTACATAAGAAATTAATAGATCTAAGCTAATGTGGAGCGAATTTTGAGTTTTATAAAGACAACTTTCAAGTTTTAGGGGGCAACATGAGATCAAAATTGAGTTTCAATGGGCAAAGTGGAGCGAACATTGAGTTTGAAGGAGACTTTTTAAGCTATAGGGAGCAAAGAGACTAAAATTGAGTTAGCTAGAAATAAGCCATATATAATGAGAAGGTAAAGAGGAGAAATCAAATGGAGAAGATAGCTAGCATTTTTAAAAAGATTAATTATGCAATGCCTCAGTATGTCATGTATTCTTGTACTATTCCTTCTTATTTGTCGATAAGAAGGAAGGAAGATCAAATATGCTAGTTTCTTGTGTTTTCATAATCAACCATGAGCAGAGATTTGAGTTTAATGTTTCTTCCAACATTTAGAAGCAAAGTTTCACTAGACTCAGGACGCGTATTAAACGTCAAAATCAACAAAGTCCAATGATCGTGAGAAGAAGATAATGATATGATAATTCAAACCCTAAAGCCCAAAGATATGTCTTAGATCACTGTCAAGTATCACAGGACTAAATTCCAAGGTTATGCAAAAGTTGAATGATAAGGTTTTTTCTGGCCACAAGAAGTAATGATGTCCTTCTCAAATGATGGCATTAGGGATAGGGATTAGGACCGTGCCCAAATTGGCTTGAACTTCCAAGGTTTTGGAGTTATCAGGAGAAGAAGAAATATTATTGGATAATTGGAATTGGATAGGGTAATAAGCAACTCAATCTTAATTTAATTGGACCTTAAAAATTTTAGGTACTCAGTTTGTCCATCATGTTGATTTAATTATTGATTTAATTAAGATCTAATTAAGGTCTAGGCCCCATGGCCAGGTGCAACACCCATAAGTTTAGTTTTTTTTTAATGGAACTTTAACGTAAAATTTCTGATATTGTTTATTTTAACGAAAAATTACATTTTTACATTAAAAATAGGCAAGTGCAACACCCATAAGTTTAGTTTTTTTTAATAAAAATTTAATGAAAAACTCCTGGTACTGCTCACTTTAACGAAAAACCATATTTTTACACTAAAAAGTCAATCATGGTACTATTCACTTTACTTATTATTTTGTTCTTATTGTTAAAACTTAAAGTTTCTAAGTTATTTTTATTAGTTTTTTTTTTTAATTATTGTTTTTATATAGTATCAAACTATTATTTATGTAAAAAAAAAAGAAAATTACTTTTGGCAATCTAGATTTTGGATATTGTTCCACTTTACTCCTCGAAGCTTTGGTTTGGTTTTGGGCCCCTATTAATTGGCAGAATTAACGAAGGGAGTGTGTGTGGGTGAGTGTTGGGAGATGTGACAGGAGCCTGATTGAAAGTTTACGCAAGCAAGAAAGTTCAAAGGATAAAGTGAAAGGAAGGCCATACTTCACGTGACAGCTTAAACTTTTTCCTATTTATTTTCAAATGAAAGCAACGGAGGACATGTGACTCGTGTTGAGTTGATTTAGCGTGTAACTTTGTTATTGGTTTGTTGTGCCATATGTGTGATAATCCGGCAAAATCGTTGAATATATCAATGTCTCATATGCAATGAGAATGACTCATCTACATTCCTCAGTACATTATCGTGGTATCTCGAGCAAATAATACAGTATCATATGTTTAAATTTTTCACATAACATCAAATAATTAATTTAAAATGTCAGCTTAACATTTCTGTTATGTAAGTTACACTGTATTCAGTTCCTTATCGCAACCAGTTGTACACAACTATATCCACAATTTGGGGAAAGGGTCATTATACTCTTTTTTGGATACCGTGCACCTGGCCCTTGGACTTATGACATAGATATTTTAGGGTTCATGTATGTAAACCGTATACTCAAGCTCGAGACAAGCAAAACAACCCACAATTTGTTCAAGTGGCTCTTCCTAGCACAAAAAGCTACCAAAATTCACATCAATATATATCCAAGTGGACTTTTTATTACCTTTGAAATTTACATGGGGTGGGAGGAGCTCCTGAGGCAACTAGCTAAAAGATCTGCATGATAAAATAGTGGTTATAAATGACATCCACTTACTCGTTGGGTCTTTTTCCTACACTAGTAAATCTACATGAAAGGTTCTAGATATTATGTTGGCCGAAATACTCAAAGCCATTTGCAAATGGATTTGACCTCTTAATTTGTTGATGGCAGCTAGCACTTATCCATTATTCTATGGTTTTGTTTTTGCCACTCACTTACAGCTAATATATGCGAGTAAGCGACGGGTAACACTAGTCATTAAAGTTTTTCTCTTTAATTCTCGTGCTTCGGGTTTAAAATCCTTTTTGTTATCGTTATTAGTGTAGAATAATGCTTGTATTAAAAATATAATTAATATATCTAACTAAATGTAACTCAATTGTGTGTCAAACCTTAATTTTCAATTAGGATAATGTTAGGGAAACCAAATTTTAAAACCAAATTTGCAAACCAAATGGCATGGTAGTTGATGATTGAATTATTACTTAAGTGTTGATTAACGTGCTTATTTTCTATTAGTGACACATTATTTCGTTTGTAAATTTGGTATCTTGAGCATTACCATATGCATTGAATTATGACCCAATTGTAAGGGCAACACACTTATAATGACAAGTGAGGACCCGTGAGTACACCATTCACTGAAATTATTTTGTCCAAAAGATTTTTATCTTTTATTTTTGTCAAAATGTTGTCTAGAAGAAAACATCTTTAATACTTCCGGATCTTTGTGTTCGGATTACAAAGACCAAAAAATTTGGACTACTCAATTTCAATTCTACGTCCCCTATTAATCTATTCTATTAGCCCACTTTACAAAAATTCAAAAACTTGAATAGTTTAGATCTCTTGATCGTTGTGCTCCAGACACAAAGATCCAAAGTTAATCTCGATCCTATATTGAGGAGGATATTTTGTTTATAGTAGGTAGGAAAGAGATCACGAGCCTTTATTCCATATACTTTTATAGTATTGCTTTGGTTTGGAGGACACACATAAGATGCAACCACCATTACTTTCCATTGTCTAATTTTTGTTGTTATTTCTTTTGGTTGGTGCATTTTATATATCCATTCTCTGTTGGTTCTAGAAGCCATGAGTGATCCCCTCACTCTGGCAATGTCACCCAAATTATCAACATTACATATTGTTGGGATTATTAAAGAGAAAGAATAAAAGGATTCCCTTTACAACCGCTACTTGATGGCCTCTGCTTAAAAGCTAATGGGATACGAAAGACTTAGGGTTCGATTGTCTCGAATCTCGCTCAAGCTTCGTTTAAGCCTTAGGTTGCTGATCACTGTCTTGATTAATCCTTAAGTATTTAACAATTAAGTAAGAGCATCTAGACTTACTTAGGCACCTGCCTAGCCCACCTAGTCTGCCTAGATCGCTACTCTTATTTAGACAAAAAATAAATAATTTTCAGTTTGCATTTTATTTTTTTCAATAAATTGAAAGAGACTTATTGAGTATTTGAATGAACACTCATTATACGCTAAGCTCCTATCTGCCGCCCGACTAGCGTCCAATACCTTTTAGAATCTTACCTCTAATGTATAAACAATGATATACGTTGTTATTAAACTTTGAAAGTTTAGAGGGAAGAGGTTAATAAGAGTTTACTTCAATTAGAAAACATTTTATAGGGATAGTGGACAAATTGAGACAATATAGAGGAAGGAAAAGTGAGAGAAGTAGAAAATTTAAAACTTCTTAATTTAAAACTCATGGAAGGTCACTTTAGGTTTGCTTTTCTAAATAGATACTTTGCTTCTTTGCATGGTTTAGGTATCATTTTCTACATCCCTTTATTTTTTCATAAATAATTAATCTGTTTCTGCACCAAGTAACTATTAGTTATGTGACTAATTAGGTTTAGTTGACTAAGACAGAAGCTAACACTATAATAAACAAGCTTAGTCGAGATCGATCTCAATAATGAATTTATATTTACAAAAGAAATTTCAAAGTCTTTTATGACGACCAAATGATATTGAATAAATGGCTGAGTAGATTAAAGATGAAATTGAACAAAGAAAAACAAAAAATGCAACGGGAATTTATAAATTTGGAGTCCAAGCTCCATCTGGGGCCATAAACCTTTCCGAAAAGAGCACGTCATTTCGATATCAGCTTTCAAATTAGCATTATAAACTTTGTAATACAATTTGAACTTTCTCTTTGCGTTGGATTAATGTTGTTTTTAATTCCCAAGACCCATGAGCTTCCCCAAACTTATTTAAGCTGTTTATACTTTTAGATTTTCTCTCAAAATCTGATGGACTCAAGCAAACTTAATTTTTCGAGGGCATACGTTTGTAGCCCTCTACGCTTGTACTGCATCACCAAATAATAAGACACGTGACATTACAATATTAGACATAAATAAATAAAATTTATAACAAATCTAATTTAGTTCGAGTTTTATAATGAAACACAATCACATCAGTAGATAAGAGTTAAATTACAAAGATTGCCAAGGCAGCCTTATCAAATGGGAAAAAAAAAAAAGCAAAGGAAAAGGGCCAATCAGCTAATTTAAGGAAGGACACCAAATGATCAATACAACTCATCCACTCCAGTTTATTATCAATTTATGACCACCAAAAATAAAATAAAAATCAGTTTCCAAAAAATAAAATAAAAATAGGATAATTATGTTTGACAAATCAGCATCGATCCCAGCCAAGCTGGATAAGCATTAACCAAACACCATATTTAAACCTAGTTATAACTCCGGTCTGGCCCAACCTACATGCGCATCCAAACACCCTCAAACTCCTTCAACATATAAAGCCAAACCACTCCCACCTCCCGTCCCTCTCTCCTCAATCAAATTCCACAACCGCATACCAAAACGCCCCGTATCATGCTTTCTGCTTCATTCTCCACCACATTCCTCACCGCTCCGATTCTCTCCGCCACAGCCTCTCCAAAAACGTCGACACGTGTACGATTTCAGCCGATTCGCGCCTTCGCCTCCGGCTCCGCTTACGCTTCTGCTGAGGCCGAGACGCCGTCGTATCTCCGCCCTCAAACCATGACCTCGCTGTACGAAATCCTCGGCATACCGGCCGTCGCCACGTGTCAGGAGATCAAATCGGCGTACCGAAAATTGGTTCGGGTTTGCCACCCGGACGTGGCGGCGATCGAGCGCAAGGACACGTCGGCCGACGAGTTCATGAAGATTCACGCTGCCTACTCCACGCTATCAGATCCCCAAAAGCGCGCCGATTACGACCGGCAATTTATGCGGCGTAGCCGCCCGTTGGCTTCGGCGTCGGGATATTCCGGGTACTACACTCGCCGGAACTGGGAGACCGATCAGTGCTGGTAGTGAGTTGACTCGCCTGGTGATGGAACGATTCCGAAATTAAAGCAACTAATCCGCGAGATTACCGGTAATTTTGTAAAAATACGAAAGGTAACATAGTGCAACCAGAGCCGTTGATTATATTGATCGGGATGATGTCGCTGTCTGTCTGTCGGGCACTAAAACAAGAAAAGAAGAAGTAGCGCCAAAATGGGAAAAGTCAAAGAGTTGAAAATCTTGTTTAGTGTTCGATAATTACTATAATTATGTTGCATAATTAGGGGGGCAACATAAAGTTGTGTTTTTATTTTAGATTAATATAGACCATAAGTACAGTATATAGATAGTAATTTACATGTAGAGATTGGAGCTCAGTATTTTGATGGGTAATCAATTTTATATTACTATTGGTATTGATGATAAGTTTTCAAGTGTTTGTTCGTAATGTTAAATTATGAAATCTAGATTGTGATTGGGGATACGGTACTTGTGGGATCATGATTTTTTAGGAATCAAAATATGTCTACTTTTGAAGTCTAATTATAGACTCAATATATCACCATCATTCTTTTTTGGAATCAATGGGCGAAGTTCGACAACTTCACTGGCATGCTTATTTTGGAAACCTAATCCAGGAAGGAATCGACGTAAGATTCGTTAACCTAATCCAACAAAAATCAGCAAGTTTTCTATAACCTTAAAATTCTTACAATCTAAGAATTGACGTAACAATTTCATTTTAATAAGAATTCTATTATCCTAAAATGTTTGTCTATCGGCTAATATATATTTGCTTTCATCACCGGTACCGCAATCTTCGCATAGCCTTTGTTTTTGGACGGAAGGAAGATTGGATATTATGATATATGGAAGTCGGCGATCATTGAAAAATGTTACAAATTGGTTGTCGGCCATTACAAGTTAAGAACCCTAAGAAAAAGTGAAAAGGTGAAAATGTTGAAAGTGGAATCTGCCATGTAATTGAGGGATTTGGATCCTATCCGGATCAAATTGTAGAAATTCTATGAATATTCACATTTTAGTTATTCATCATACATCGTGCGGTCATAAATGATTTAAAATTTTCATTTGGTAAAAAATGATTTAAAATTTTCATTTGGTAAAAAATGAATGGAGAATCGAACATGAAAACTTTTTAGGAGGTTCAAAATTAATTCACCAAAAACGTTTTCGGTTATTTCAAAAATGCTTTCAAACGAGTCCTAAGATGTCCGAGTGCATTAAACAAATATACATGGCCAATCTTTTGTATAAGGGCTAAGATGAGAACGAAATTAGAGATCTGAACATTTTCTAGTTTTACCAAGAGAAATTATTACTTTCTTTTTTCATGATACACCTGGTTTTTTATTCATATTGTGACAAATCACTGTTTGACATGTATATAACATTTTTACTTTTAGCGTTCTAATATGAGTTATAACGAGACCTACAAATGTAGGATGAAATTGTTTCGGGTTACTCATTAGTTGCTGAAAGTACTTATTATTTTTATCATTGATAAAATTCCGAATACAATTAATGTTGTGTATTTCATAAATATATATATAAATGTATATATAAATATATATATATATATATATATGTATGTATATGGTTGCGTGTATAGAAAATGAGACTGGCAATTAAATTGCCGTATCTCTTGGATTGAAGAAGCACACCAAGGGATATGTCCCTTGGATCATTCAATCAGAAGGTTACGCCTTTTTTCTCTAAGGCACATATATGAAAAGGCAGCAAGCTTTCATCCATTCGGTAGAAATGAAAGGATGCTGGAAAGATCTATTTGATTTTCATGCACTTTCAGTTGAAGGAAGTGACACACTTTGAACTAAGTTCAACGGGCACCATATAAACTATATATAGCCTATGTTGGCTGCATAATCATATATACAATTCTTCAAACAATATTTTCTTATCCTCTTTCTCTCCATCAAAATCATACAGTTTCTTTTTGGAAGATTTTAAGGGAATTTCAGTTCTTGCTAAACTAAAATTCCAAATTTTGTTGTATCTTGGAAGTGATTTGCTTTAGACCCGTTAGCAAACTCATATTAGAGTGGGGGCAAATATCACTTTAAGAAAAACGTATTAATGTGCCTCAAAGTCATTTTTCTATCTAATTCTCAACCTTATTCTTACAATTAAGAAATATCTATATACTTGGTTCATGTATCTGTTATAGTTCCTGTTATATTCCGCCCCTAAATTCACATTCCAAGCGATTACGTATAATTTTAATTCGCTTGTGGATTGTCGAGTTTGGTATCTTAAGTTTATAAATAAGCAGAATATTAAAGTGATTGACTAATGATTAAGCTTAAGCAAATTGAAAATTGGTGTTTGAATATGTTCACCACCATTTGGTGTGTGAGGTCACATTCATCGATCATTTATGCACGTCTAAAACGTTGATCTGGGAGTGCATTACTGAAAACTTTACATAAATTTTATACTAATACCCCTTGCTAATTGGCGCTGGAAATATTTTATTTCTGTGTGATGCTTAGTCCAAATTGATGTCTTCAAACCTCTTCAGGTTTTTTCTTATAAGGTCAGACTAAAATTTGATTGTCTTAAAATATTTTTTTTAATTAATTATATTTGAACTTAAGACACCCGCGCACTGATTAATTTGCAATAATTTATAATTAATTAAGGCCCTAATGAAGGAGAGATCACCCGTAGATGACAAATTAACAAATAAATAAAAATTAGTGATCCAATTTGTGTAGATTCATAACATATATTCAAAGTGTTCATCCATACAAAATAAAGATGTTCGATCTCTTGAGTTAGCTTATGTGACGACGATAGTTAAGATTAAGATAAATCAAATTTTCCATTCCTTCCTAGATTTCGAGCCTCTGTAGAAGTTCTTCAGATGAATAAATCTAAAAGAGACTAGAAGAACCATAGAAACCATATCTTAGGAATTAGGTGCCCGGACACCTTATTGTTTCCAAAAATTCCATGCTAGTTTGGTTTTAGACTAGACTGGTAGATAATGGTGGTGGACCGGAAGGTATGATGGAGATGGGTGTAAACTAGCCCTGTGAGTATATACAACTTTTGCGCTCTTCACATTCTTTTTTATTTTTCACACACTTTAAACAATTTATGTCGATTAACTCTCATCAATATATTCGATTTAATAAACGAAAATTGAGGGAACCTTTCAAACACACCCTTTTAATTTTTATTGTTTCATTCTCTTTAATTGATTCAGTCAGATGGTCAAAAATTAAGAAAAATGTGTAAAAGATAAAAATGTCTAGATAGCACCACCCTATATAAAGAGACAATTGTTCAATGGGCATCCTACCGTTAGATTTAAAGAAAAACTAATGAAAATAACTTGAAAACTTTGAGTTTTAAGATAAGGACAAAATAAATAGTAAAGTAAATAGTACCATGATTGACTTTTTAGTATAAAAATATAATTTTTTGTTAAAATAAACAGTATCAGGAACTTTTCGTTAAAGTTCGCTACATTTAATCCCCATCTCATACAACAATGTTCGACCTCTTTGTTGTGGAACGCACTAGGCGTCAATGGGTAATAAGCTAGAATAATACAAACCCAGAATGAATTTCTTTTTCACTTACTTGGAGTCGGAGAGCAAAATTCCTATATATATATATATATATAGAGAGAGAGAGAGAGAGAAATTTTCGTAATACTTAAATTGTCCTTATCCTATTAAGAATTCAAAAATTAAATAAATAAAAATTCACAAAAAAAAAACGTCACGGGACTGTGGGGATTGGTAAGTTGATTATTATTTTTTAAATATATCATAACAAATAAATAAAAATAAAAATAAATCAATTGCCACACTGAGTATGCAAAAAAAAAAAAAAAACGTATGTGATAACAACCATTTACCCACTGGAAGATAAACGAAAGAAAAGAAGGGAGATATGGTAATAAACCTTGATTAGTTTAATCTATCTGTTTAAATATGATTTAATTAACAGTGATTCCGAGAACCTGCCGACCCACATACATATAAATTACTTCTGGATCAAAGTCTTTTACTCAGCTTCGTGCGTATGGCATGAAGTCATTTATAATGACCAAAGGCTTCATATGTGGTTCGTCTTCTGGAAAAATTTAGTACCAATGATTTGAGTAGTTTAAAACGTAAATTATAATAACAACCCAATTCTTGTTTCTTTGATAGAAAATATATAATTTATTTGGTTTGGAATATTGACCATTTAGGTTAGAAATGACACGTAGAAAAGTAAATACACTACGATCTTCCATCTTCTTCTTATTTCTTTGTCAAAAAGTCGTCAAAGAATTCTTGATTCTTCGATGGTAAATATGTAATTTAGACCAACTCCAGAGAAACATGTATACGAAAATTCTAGAAACAATTTTCCTTTTTTCTTACCAGAAGAAGTTCTAGAAATAATTAGGAAAGAACCATTGACTAAGTAAACATGCTAATGCTTAGACTTAGTATTCCGGTATCGGGATCTTCAGACTAAGTAATAAGCAATTTTATTGATCATTTATGCACGTCGAAAACAGTGATCTGCATGGCCTTTATTACATTAATCTTTACATCACTGATTAATCTTATACTAATATCCGGCTAATTTGCGTTGAAAATATTTTATTTCTCTAAGTCGTTGCAAGAGGTTTCAGACTTTTGAGGTTCTATAAGGTATGACGTTTATTTGTTTGCCATATATAAAATACTTCTTGTTACTCAAAGATCCATTTTTTATGACCAATTCATTTCAAATCCAAAGCATTCATCCATACCAAAAAATAATAATAATAATAATGTTCTTTTGCAGTTAGCTTATGTGGGAGAGCGGGATAATGGTTAGGATAAGATAGGTAAAAGGTAAATTCCTCTAATATTCATATAAATACGTAGATTTCAATTCATTGCTATTTCATTTCCGATGAATTTGCCAAAATGAATTCTAATTAAACATCATTATTCATGACAGTGTTTGAAGATTTACATAAATTTAAGCCCTTGTATTACAAAACTAATTTATGAAATCTTGTATTTGGTTTTGTTTTACAGGGTGAAACTAAGTAATTTCCATAGAGATACATACATACATACATACATACATACATACATACATACAAATAGCCATATTGTTGTTAATAAAATTATTAATTCGGAATGTGATTTTATGAACTTAAGGTAAAATTCCAATAGGATTTGGAGACCAAATTCTTTTTTGAACAAATGATATTATCTACACTAAGGCGGAGAGGGTGAGTTGAACCTCGCTAGCAATAATATGGTTCAAATTTATCATTGGCAAGAACCGAACCTAAAACCTAAAGCAAGAAAACCAATCATAATTAGTATAAAGTACTAAGCCAAGGAATGATGATACAATTCTCATACACTTGAGCTCTT